TTTTTTTTTTTACAACTAGTTTTTTGATTTCCCAACACATGTCAAAGGTATGTTTACACTACACTGTAGTCTATTAAGTGCGCAATAGCATTATGTCTAAAAAAATGATGTACACACCTTAATTAAAAATACTGTATTGCTAAAAAATGCTAGCCATCATCTGAACCTTCAGCAGGTCACAACCTTTTTGTAACAGCAACATCAAAGATCATTGATCATGGATCACCATAATAAATACAATAATAACAAAAAAGTTTGAAATATTGTGAGAATTATCAAAAAGTGACACAGAGACATGAAGTGAGCAAATGCTTTTGGAAAAACGGCACTAATGCACAGGGTCCCCACAAAACTTCAATTTGTAAAAAACACAGTATCTGCAAAGCACCATAAAGCAAAGTGAAATTAAACAAGGTATGCCTGTAAACAACAAAAACAAACAACAACAAAAAACCCAAGAATGTGTTGGGGTTGGTAGGAGGAGGATGGTTTCAAAAGACAACGAGAGACAAGATTTTTAAAGGCATGAATAGCCAGTGGCACCTTTTGAAAGGTCAGTTAGTCATAGGGACGGATATGTCAACAAGAATGTATCAGCAAGGTCACTGGTGACCTTGAGGAGAGTTGTTTCCATGAACTAATGGTAGGAACCAGAAAATGAAGGTGGCCAGTGTCATCAACTCTTCTGAGAAATTTGGCTGTGATGGAGAGACAAGGTGCCAGCTAAACAGATTTATAAGATTAGGCTATTAATTTTTAGAGGCTGTTTTTTAAGATGAAAGGGATTTGAACATGGAAGAGAGGGGGGAAACAGTGAAGCAGGGGTTTGATCATATAGGTAGGAGAGACAGATCAATGTAATGAGGAACAAAAATTATAACGCTAAAGATTGATTCAGTTCTGATTAAAATGAAAAGAAATGACAGGTTCTGATGGCATTTGAAAAGAAGATTTCAGAGGAAATAATCTTGTTGACACAGGTTGGTCATTCAAAACACTATATTGATGGTTTCCCTTCTCAATAAGAAAAGGAAGAGACGATCAGAGAACATTTACATCCAATGACCAAGGAGCATGAAATCAGCTAGAAAAAGTTTTATTTACGCTCAGAACTTTACCTGCTATGTCTTACTCTCATGAATTATAGCTTCTCTCTTTAATCTTGTTTTACCAAAAAGGGAGCAAGAGGCTTTCAAAGGTATTTGACTTTTAACTCCAAAATTTTGTTTGATCTCCCAGATCTTAACCCTCTTATTGCAAGACTAATGTATTTCATACATAAAATGATACTTGTTTTAAGAAATTGCTTTTTTTGGGGGGTGGGTATAGATTGGGAGATTGGGATTGACATATATACACTAATACGTATAAAATAGATAACTAATTTTAAAAATCCAATTTAAAAATGTGAAAAAAATCTTAACCACAATTATTTTCATTTTTATAAATCTCTCTATCTTTTGTCCCAAGCTTCCATATTTTTATATTACTGTATTTGTGATATGCATTTAATTTTAATTCTGTTTTTTCTTTTTAAAATTATAACATAATTTTCCAAGTTTTTATGTAGTTTGTATAATATAACTTCATAACACTTATTTTGACCTTCTTATAATTCAATTATGTTTGCTGCCCAACCTTTCTAGTAGTGAATTTTATAAGTTTACTACCAACTCAATGAAGTAAAAATTCATTTTATTTGTTGCTCAATCATTAAAAAAACTGCTTTTTTTTCTTTAGCTATAACATATGGTTATTTTAGAAAATTAAACATGCTCATTTAAGCTCTAGTTGAACTCACCAACCTTATGTTAATTATATAGAGAGAATTACACGTAGATATAGTTCTAGATGTAGATGTAGAAATACATATAGACATAAACACAGACTTACAGAGTCATAGGTATAGATATACATATAAATATAGATAACAGTGTGATATCATGGGTTCTTCTGTTGATAAAACAGCTTAAGACCCTTTGGGTACAGCTTATATCATGCCTGTAATAGATTTTAATCCAAACACAACTAAGTTTGGTTCTTCCACACTATGTAAGTCAAGAAAGGAACAACTGAGGGATGGATGGGATGGTCCATGGTATCAAAGATCATGGAGAGGTCAAGGGGGAACAAAGTTTGGGAAAATGACCCATTCCTGTAATGATTGGGAATGAGTGTGTAGGAGAAAATGAAATCTCTGGGAAAGATTAGGTGATGGAAAAAATGAAGGTTCACAAAACGAAAAACAGAAAAGAGAGTGAGAGTGTTAGTATTAAGGGGAAATTCTTTTGCATAAGATAGGAGGGGAGAGGAAGGGAGAAGTAGACCAGTGAATAACCAAAGGTTGAAGGGAAATAAGCTTAGCATTGAGCTATTAGTGGGTATTAAAAATCATAGTCCTTCATTATTATCTGTTTTTGACCTATTTTCATCTTCTTTTTGTTCTTCTGGGGACAAAGATCTCTTTTTGAAGACTGTGCTTCCTTTCATCATTTAATAATTGCTTCTATTTTTCAGCTTTTACTAAAAAGGCTATTTCTCAGCCCTGAGAATGCACTGACATTAAAGGTGAGAAACAGAAATTGTACTTTGAGCTCTTCCAAAGAAAAGCACTTTAGAAATCAAAGGCATTGCTATAGTGTTATTATTCTCTCGTTCCCCTGAAAGCTTGGCATGACATTAGCTCTGATCCTTGAAGAGACGTCTTTCAGTCTAGCCATTATATTAATAATCTGTGACTCTGAGAAAGGAATGGATATCTAAATTCACCAACCTTATCCAATAATCTTCCCTCTCCCTTAGTTCCAGTGCTAGGGATCTGATCCAAGAATCAGAAATAGGAGCATTGTAACTTATTTTATCTTCCATGTAAATCACATCCAGCTATGAATAAATCGGAAGGGCATATAGCCAAGCACTATCAGTTCTGTGCAAACAGAGATCCACAGCTGAATGGGCATTGAACACATGAGATGTTAGCTCATGAATAATCCTTTTGTATCTTTACAAAGTTATATAAACAGTTGCTTATTATGATGATGATTTACATTAATAATGGAATAATAAATAGAAGATAAAAATAAGTTATTTTGGAAATAAGTGATAAATATTTCTTGGAAATAAGTGATAAATATTTCTAAGTGTCAGTTACTGTCTATCAAGAAAAAACTGGATGGATCTTAAAGTATTATCTTACAATAGTAACTAGCAAAACCTGTAGTTAATATTTTCCCGTTTAGGTAGCTCCATGAAAGGTATCACTCATGGAGAAATAGCTAAACACAGCCTGAGGAGAAAGGAGGTTTTAAACTAGAAATATAATCCATGTTTGGCAATTCATATAATTGTAAATCACCCATAGATGAACAGGTTTTAAAAGAAAATATTTTAATAGGTGAATGTAATTCCAAGTTGTGATTGTTCAACATGTTCAATAATTTTATATATATGTTATACACATATAATAAATACATATGTACACACACATACATGCAGATGCAGCCAGAAGTATGAACAAGACAACTTGAGCTCTTTGTGTCTATTAGCCAACTAAAATTTATTTATATCCTTACAGATTCAACTTAAATTATAAGACATTTATTTCCAAATATTCCTATTATTTGGAATATTACTTTTCCAAATATTCCTATTATTTGGAAATAAAAGAGACATTAAAAGCCTGTGCAACAGATGAAAACTTTTGGAAATAAAACAATCTCGTATGAAACAAGCACACTGTTTCATAACTCTTTTCCAATTGTTGAACTGGGACAATAAAGCCCATTTAAGCATGGAAATATTTGGTGAAGATACTCTAGGGGTTGATGACATAAAAACAATTTTGGATACCCTAAAGCAAAACCAGCCTGGAGACCTATTTTCCTTCGAGTGTTTAGTGATGACATAGATTATGGGAGTCCTACACTTGTGTCTACTTCTTTGAAGGCTCAGATGCAGGCTCCGTGTTTTGTTCACTGATATCTCCCAAGATCCTAGAACAATATCTGGCATGCAGTAATCACTTATTAAATATTTATTAAGTTAAATGGTTGTTGACATTCGCAGCATGGAAATTGTAGAACAAGGTGTCCTCCTCACGCTCTGTAATTTTACCTGTAACTTTGCTCTCAACAACAACAAAAAAGGAAAAAAAAGGAAAACAAAACAAAAACAAACAAACAAAAATCCCCCACTCATCTGTCACTTAAAGTTTACGAAGAACTTGCCATACCTATTCCCATCCAGACATCTGGGCTCGTCATAGCCAAAAATCGCTGTGCACCAGGAGCCCACACTGGAGTGCCACCACCTAGTGTTTGTTCTCTCCTCTGCTACCCTTATGGATAGAACTATGTCCTCTCCAAATTCATGTGTTGGAGTTCTAACCCTGAGTGCCTCAGAATGTGACCTAGTTTGGAAATAGTGTCATTGCAGTTAAGTTAGGATGAGATCATACCAGAGGTGGTTGGGCCCCATATCCGATATGACTGGTGTCATTGTAAGAAAGGGAAATTTGGACACAGACACGCACACAGGGAGAACACCACATAAAGATAAAGGCAGAGATTGGGATGGTGCTTACACAAACTAGGCAACGCCAAAGATTGCTAGGAAAACACCCGAAGCCAGGAGAAAGGGTGGAACAGATCCCCTCTCACAGCCCTCAGAAGGAACCCTGCTGACACCTTGATCTTGGACTTCTAGCCTCCAGAACTGTAAGACAATAAATTTCTTTTAAGCTACCCACTTTATGGTACTTTGTTACAGCAACCCTTAGCAAACTAAAAATACAGGCACTTACTCCTCTAAGCTTGTCAGATTTCCTACCAGGGCCACGTGTATCCTGACCACACTTTCACTGGGCACTGTCTTATTCAGTGCTCAGAGTTCACAAAATTGCCCCCAGTTTATTCCAAAGCATCCACAATTATACGTTGTCAATATCTAACAGATTCTTCCATCACATGACATCTCAATTACCTCTGACACCTTTCCCTTACCTTCTGCTCGCTCCTGTGCTTGGGGCGGCCTTATAACCTGGAGGTGGCGGTGGAAACCAGGACTGTCTGTTAAGAAATGACATCAGTTATAAACATGGTGCTTGAAAGGCTTGACCCCACCCACATGTCCACTAGGAAAAGCTGAAAATAAATTGACAGTTAAAAAGGCAAGATGACTTTCCTACAAGGTCTTTGAAATAAAACAAAAACTATTTACTTCCTGCCATAGGAAGTAACTGTCTATATTCCAGGCTATTTGGAAAATAGTAAACCCCTTTTCCCATTTCCAAGTAAACCCCTTTTCCCATTTCCTTTGGCACTAAATAATGTAGACATTTCTTTAAAAAGAAATCTGGGGGAGGGGCTTCAAGATGGAGGAAGAGTAAGACACGGAGATCATCTTCCTCCCCACAGATACATCAGAAATACATCTACACGTGGAACAACTCCTACAGAACACCTACTGAACGCTGGCAGAACACCTCAGACCTCCCAAAAGGCAAGAAATCCCCCACGTACCTGGGTAGGGCAAAAGAAAAAAGAAAAAACAGAGACAAAAGAATAGGGACGGGACCTGCACCAGTGGGAGGGAGCTGTGAAGGAGGAAAGGTTTCCACACACCAGGAGCCCCTTCACTGGCAGAGACTGCGTGAGGCGGAGCGGGGAGCTTCGGAGCCGCGGAGGAGAGCGCAGCAACAGGGCTGCGGAGGGCAAAGCGGAGAGATTCCCGCACGGAGGATCGGTGCTGACCGGCGCTCACCAGCCCGAGAGGCTTGTCTGCTCACCCGCCGGGGCGGGCGGGGGCTGGGAGCTGAGGCTCGGGCCTTGGAGGTCGCATCCCAGGAAGAGGACTGGGGTTGGCGGTGTGAACACAGCCTGAAGGAGGCTAGTGCGCCACGGCTAGCTGGGAGGGAGTCCGGGAAAAAGTCTGGAGCTGCTGAAGAGACAAGAGACTTTTCTTGCCTCTTTGTTTCCTGGTGCGCGAGGAGAGGGGATTAAGAGCTCCGCTTAAAGTTGCTCCAGAGACGGGCGCGAGCCATGGCTATCAGCGCGGACACCAGCGACGGGCATGAGACGCTAAGGCTGCTGCTGCCGCCACCAAGAAGCCTGTGTGCGATCACAGGTCACTCTCCACACCTCCCCTCCTGGGAGCCTGTGCAGCCCGCCACTGCCAGCATCCCGTGATCCAGGGACAACTTCCCCAGGAGAACACACGGTGCACCTCAGGCTGGTGCAATGTCACACTGGCCTCTGCCACGCAGGCTCTCCCATATTCAGTACCTCTCCCTCCCCCCTGGCCTGAGTGAGCCAGGGCCCCCAATCAGATGCTACCTTAACCCCATCCTCTCTGAGTAGGGAGCAGGCACCCTCAGGAGACCTACACACAGGGGTGGGCCGAAATCCAAAGCTCAACCCCAGGAGCTGTGCAAACAAAGAAGAGAAAGGGAGATCCCTCCCAAAAGCCTCAGGAGCAGCAGATTAAAGCTCCACAATCAACTTGATGTACCCTGCAACCGTGGAATACATGAATAGACAACGAATCATCCCAAATGGAAGAGGTCGACTTTGGGAGCAACGATATATACATATTTTTTCCTTATTTCTCTTTTTCCATGTGGATGACAGGGTCTTGGTGCTCTGACTGGGCATCAGGTCTGTGCCTCTGAGGTGGGAGAGCCAAGTTCACACACCCCCCCCTAGCTCCATGTAATATAAAAAAGCGAAAATCTCCCAGAAATCTCCATCTCAACACCAAGACCCAGCTCCACTCAATGACCAACAAGCTCCAGTGCTGGACACCCATTGCCAAACAACTAGGAAGACAGGAACATAACCCCATCCATTAGCACACAGGCTGTCTCAAATCATAATAAGGTCACAGACACCCCAAAACACAACACCAGATGTGGACCTGCCCACCAGAAAGACAAGATCCAGCCTCATCCACCAGAAACAGGCACTCAGTCCCCTCCACCAGGAAGCCTACACAACCCACTGAACCAGGCTTAGCCACTGGAGACAGACACCAAAAACAACGGGAACTACAAACCTGCAGCCTGCAAAAAGGAGACCCCAAACACAGTAAGTTAAGCAAAATGAGAAGACAGAGAAACACACAGCAGATGAAGGAGCAAGATAAAAACCCACCAGACCTAACAAATGAAGAGGAAATAGGCAGTCTACCTGAAAAACAATTCAGAATAATGATAGTAAAGATGATCCAAAATCTTGGAAATAGAATGGAGAAAATACAAGGAACGTTTAACAAGGACCTACAAGAACTAAACAGCAAACGAACAGTGATGAACAACACAATAAATGAAATTAAAAATTCTCTGGAAGGAATCAATAGCAGAATAACTGAGGCAGAAGAACGGATAAGTGACCTGGAAGATAAAATAGTGGAAATAACTACTGCAAAGCAGAATAAAGAAAAAAGTATGAAAAGAACTGAGGAAAGTCTCAGAGACATGTGGGACAACGTTAAATGCACCAACATTCGAATTACAGGGGTCCCAGAAGAAGAAGAGAAAAAGAAAGGGACTGAGAAAATATTTAAAGATATTATAATTGAAAACTTACTTAATATGAGAAAGGAAAGAGTTAATCAAGTCCAGGAAGCACAGAGAATCCCATACAGGATAAATCCAAGGAGAAACATGCCAACACACATATTAATCAAATTATCAAAAATTAAATACAAAGAAAAAATATTAAAAGCAGCAAGGGAAAAACAACAAATACCATACAAGAGAATCCCCATAAGGTTAACAGCTGATCTTTCAGCAGAAAATCTGCAAGCCAGAAGGGTGTGGCAGGACATATTTAAAGTGATGAAAGGGAAAAACCAAGATTACTCTACACAGCAAGGATCTCATTCAGATTCGACGGAGAAATTAAAACCTTTACAGACAAGCAAAAGCTAAGAGAATTCAGCACCACCAAATCAGCTTTACAACAAAAGCTAAAGGAACTTCTCTAGGCAGGAAACACAAGAGAAGGAAAATTTTTACCTACAATAAAACCCCAAAACAATTAAGAAAATGTTTATAGGAACATACACATTGATAATTACCTTAAATGTAAATGGTTTAAATGCTCCAACCAAAAGACATAGACTGGCTGAATGGATACAAAAACAAGACCCATATATATGCTGTCTACAAGAGACCCACTTCAAACTTAGGGACACATACAGACTGAAAGTGATGGGATGGAAAAAGATATTCCATGCAAATGGAAATCAAAAGAAAGCTGGAGAAGCAGTTCTCATAGCACACAAAATAGACTTTAAAATAAAGACTATTACAAGAGACAAAGAAGAACACTACATAATGATCAAGGGAACAATCCAAGAAGAAGATATAAAAATTTTAAATATTTATGCACCCAACATAGGAGCACCTCAATACATAAGGCAAATGCTAACAGCCATAAAAGGAGAAATCGACAGTAACACAATCATAGTAGGGGACTTAACACCCCACTTTCACCAATGGACAGATCATCCAAAATGAAAATAAATAAGGAACCACAAGCTTTAAATGATACATTAAACAAGATGGACTTAATTGACATTTTTAGGACATTCCATCCAAAAACAACAGAATACAATTTCTTCTCAAGCGCTCATGGAACATTCTCCAGGATAGATCATATCTTGGGTCACAAATCAAGCCTTGGTAAATTTAAGAAAATTGAAATCGTATCAATTATCTTTTCCAACCACAATGCTATGAGACTAGATATCAATTACAGGAACAAATTTGTAAAAAATACAAATACATGGAGGGTAAACAATACACTACTAAATAACCAAGAGATCACTGAAGAAATCAAAGAGGATAACAAAAAATACCTAGAAACAAATGACAATGTAAACACAGTGACCCAAAACTTATAGGATGCAGCAAAAGCAGTTGTTAGAAGGAAGTTTATAGCAAAACAATCCTACCTTAAGAAACAAGAACCATCTCAAATAAACAACCTAACCGTACACTTAAAGTAATTAGAGAAAGAAGAACAATAAAACACCAAAGTTAGCAGAAGGAAAGAAATCATAAAGATCAGATCAGAAATAAATGAAAAAGAAATGAAGGAAACAGTAGCAAAGATCAATAAAACTAAAAGCTGATTCTTTGAGAAGATAAACAAAATTGATAACCTATTAGCCAGACTCATCAGGAAAAAAAGGGAGAAGACTCAAATCAACAGAATTAGATATGAAAATGGAGAAGTAACAACTGACACTGCAGAAATACAAAGGATCATGAGACATTACTACGAGCAACTATATGCCAATAAAATGGACAACCTGGAAGAAATGGACAAATTCTTAGAAAAGCACAGCCTTCTGAGACTGAACCAGGAAGAAATAGAATATATAAACAGACCAGTCACAGCACTGAAATTGAAACTGTGATTAAAAATCTTCCAACAAACAAAAGCCCAGGACCAGATGGCTTCATAGGCGAATTCTATCAAACATTTAGAGAAGAGCTAACACCTATCCTTCTCAAACTCTTCCAAAATAAAGCACAGGGAGGGACACTCCCAAACTCATTCTATGAGGTCACCATCAACCTGATACCAAAACAACACAAAGGTGTCACAAAGAAAGAAAACTACAGGTCAATATCACTGAGGAACATAGGTGCAAATATCCTCAAAAAAATACTCGCAAACAGAATGCAACAGCACATTAAAAGGATCATATGCCATGATCAGGTGGGGTTTATCCCAGGAATGCAAGGATTTTTCAATACATGCAAATCAATCAGTGTGATACACCATATTAATAAACTGAAGAATAAAAACCATATGATCATCCCAATAGAGGCAGAAAAAGCTTTTGACAAAATTCAACACCCATTTATGATAAAAACCCTCCAGAAAGTAGGCATGGAGGGAACTTACTTCAACATAATAAAGGCCATATATGACAAACTCACAGCCAATATCTCCTCAATGGTGAAAAACTGAGACCATTTCCACTAAGATCAGGAACAAGACAAGGTTGCCCACTCTCATGACTATTATTCAACATATTTTTGGAAGTTTTAGCC